CGCGCGGGCCTCCGGACGCGGCCGCCGCGGCGCTGTCGGCGGGGGCCCTCCGCGAGCTCCTGCGGGACGGAGAGCTGAGCGGCGAGCGGCTCGTGGCGCGTCTCGAGAGCTTACTGAGCACTTCCGGGCAGCTGCGGGAGACGCTTCTCCACGGTACGACTCCTCGCGATTTCGTGCCTCCCAGCAGGTTCGGGGTGCGAAGCGAGCGCCCCTCCGTCGGAGGATGGCGCGCAGAGGAAGTTGCCCGGTTCTCGCTAGAAGTCGGTGTTTGAACACTACTCATTTTTGAAAAACGTTTTTAGTTTTTATTAGTGCATACTGGTTCTGCAGGTTAATGAGTTTCATTTTCGCAGATTCATACATGCACATAATACACTTTAATCACTTTAATCGCCTTCTGGCCCTGCCCTCCTGCCTAGTTTCACTTTCTTGTTTGTTTTGTTTTATTTCCGACAGGGTCCCACTATGTCGTTCAGCAGACCTTGAAATCAGGAAATAGCAGAGGCCGGCTTCAAACTCACTGCAGTCCTCCTGCCTCAGCCTCCTAAGTGCAGAGGTTACAGGCGTACATCACCACCACACCCGGTTTAGTTCACATTTTTGAGTGGTTTCAATATATATAATATACTCGATCATATCCATCCCCTCATTTACCCATCCCTACACCACTGCCCCTTATTCCTTTCCTCTTAGCTAATAATGATCTCCATTCTACTTTCTTGTCGTCTTTTAGACTCGAATATTAGGAAGAACGTGAGAGTTGTTTTTCCGAGTCTGGCTTATTTCACTGTACATGATGAACTCAAGATCTGTCCTTTACTCTGACAATGGCAAAGTTTCATTGTTTATGGCTGAATAATACTGCTTTGTGTGTATGTACCACGTTTTCTTTTTGTGTTCCTCGCTACATGGCCATCTAGGCTAATACCGTAATTGGCTATTGTGAATGGTGCCACAATAAATTTGGGTATGCTGGTATCCCTTTGGTATGTTGATTTTAATTCCTTTGCGTATATACCAAGATATGGTACAACTGAATCAAATGGTAGCTTTATTTTTAGTTGTTTTTTGTGTGGTTTGGTTTTTTGAGACAGGATCTCACTGTAGTTCAGGCTGGCCTTGAACTCACTGTGTATCCCTGCCTGGCTTTACTGCACTCCTGAGTGCTAGAATTAGAGGTGTGTGCCAACACATCTGGCTGTATTTTTATTTTTGTCTTTGAGACAGGGTCTCACTTTGCAGTTCAGGCTGGCCTTGAGCTCACTTTGTAGCCCAGGCTGGCCTCGAACTCGCAGAGATCCTCCTGCCTCAGCCTCCTGAGTGCTGGGATTACAGGCGTGCACCACCACGCCCAGCTCCCGGCTGTATTTTTAGTTTTCTGAGGAACCTCATACCGATTGCCATTATGTAACTACAGATTTACACTCCCTCCGCCAGTGTAGAAGTGCTCCCCGCCAATCCTTGCCAACATTTATTATTTTTGTATTCTTGAGGATAGCCACTGTGACTGGGGTGAGATAGAATCTCAGTGTAGTTTTAATTTGCGTATCGCTAATGGCTAAAGATGTTGGCCATTTTTTCATATGCAGGTATTTGCCATTTGTACTTCTTTTAAGTACTGTTCCATTTATTGATTGGGCTATTTGAGTTTCTGGTATTGTGTTTCTTGAGTTCTTTATATATTCTAGATATTAATCCTATATTGAAAGAGTAGCTAGTGAAGATTTTCTCCTGTTCTGGAGACTGTCTCTTCCCTTTGTTAGTTGTTTGCCTTGCTGTTTAGAAACTTAATTTAATGTAGTCCCATTTGTTGATTCTTGCTAGTATTTCCTGTACTATTGGAGTCCTACTGAGGAAGTCTTTGCCTGTGCCTATAACTGTGTTTGCCCTATGTATTCTTCCAGCAGTCTCAAAGTTTCAGGTTGTTTATACCTAGGCTTTTGATCCTTGTTGAGTTTATTTTTGTACAGGGTGACAGATCGGGCTATAATTTCAGTCTTCTGCAAATGGAATATCATAACTAGTTTTTCCAGCACCATTAGCTTATTTTAGTTTTGTTTGGTTTGCTTTGGATTTTAATTCTGGCTGTTCTTCAACTCACTATGTAGGGTAGGCTGGTCTCAAACTCACAGCAATCCTCCTGCCTCAGCCTCCCACAAGTGCTAGGATTACAGGCCAGAGCCACCACACCTACTTTTATTTTGAGAGACTAACTTGCCCAGATTTAAACTTGTGGTCTCCCTGCCTTATCCTCCCAGAAGGCTAGGATTTCCACTGTGTGCCACCACACCCAGCTGAAATCAGATACTTTGATCAGCCTTGCTCTTTAGGTTTGCTCTGTTATTCTGGGTCTTTTGTGTTTCCATATGATTTTAGAATTATTTTCTAAGAATGTCATTAGTATTTTGATGGAGATGGCACTGAACCTGTAGATTGCTTTTGGTAATGTAGCATTTTAACAGTAGTAACTCTGCCAATCCATGAACGTGGGGTCTTTCCATCTTCTAGTATCTTCTCCAGTCTCTTCTCCAGTGTTGTGAAATTTTCTTTGTACTTTTACCTCCTTCATCGGATTGATTACGAGGTATTTTATTTTAAGCTATTGTGAATGGAATGGTTTTACTGACTTCTTTCTCAATTAATTCCTTACTGTTATATAAGAAAAAAAAAAATTTTTTTTTTTTTTTTTTGGTTTTTCTCCGGTTTTTCTCCGGAACCGAACTCACGACCTTGTGCTTGCCAGGCAGGCACTTTGCCGCTGAGCTAAATCTCTAGCCTCCTAAATTTTTTTTTCTAAATGTTGATTTTATATCCTGTTACTTTGCTGAATTGATCAGCTCTAAAAGTGTTCTGGTGGAGTCTAGTGCCTTGTAAGAATAGGATCATATCATCATGAAGAAAGATAATTTGTCTTCTTCCTTTCCTATGTGTGTCCCTTTTATCTCTTTCCTCATTGCTCTAGCTAGAAATTCAAAAACTATATTGAATATAGTGAGACTGGACATCTTTTCTTGTTACTGAAACACTGCTCATCTTGGCTAAATTCTGTTTTGTTTGTTTGTTTGTTTTGTTTTGTTTGTTTCTGGTTCCAGGAATCAGACTCACGACCTTGCGCTTGCCGGGCAGGCGCTGTGCTGCTGAGCTAAATCCCCAGCCCCTCTTGGCTAAATTCTTCCTTTATCAATTTAATACTGTGGAGTAGTTTTAAATACGGTTGTGAAAATTGGTGACTAAACTGTAGTATCCTTTTCAACATTTCCTCAATGAAATAAAACAAACTAAAGCAAGCTGGTGATAAATGTGATGATAGTTTTGTAGTACTTTATTTCACGATGGCTTGACTTCGGAGGGTTAAATCACTGCTCATTTATCATGTCCACAAGCAAATCAGTCATCTCTTCCAATCTCTGTTAGATGAAATCAAATATTATCTCAGGTGCAGACTTAGAAAATGAGACTTACTTCTCTTAGCTGTCCTCTCACTGAAGCATTTCTTTCACGTGCCAGACATTTCCTTGCCTTTAGGAAGCTTAAATCCGCTTATTGCCAGCTCCTGGGGCTCCCGGTGTTTCCGCTGGGAGTTGCCCAGCTTGCCTCTCCTTCCTGCTCCTAGTGGCTGTGCTCTCTGCGGTCCTGACTGAATGTCGTGACAGCCTATGTTCATGAACAGCTTTTGGAAATTCTTTTAAAAAATTCTCAGCCATACTGTTTCCAAACATAGTTACTGCCCTGTTCTCTTTTGTTTTGTCTATGACTGATTACACTTTAGATCTTTTCTTCATTTTGTCATCCACTTCCTTGGACATACTGATCATGTTTTAAAGTCCATGTTTAATAATTCATATATATATATATATATATATATATAGGTTTCTAGTATCTTTTTCTTTGGACTTGTGGTCATTTGCGCCTTTCTTCTGACATGGTAGATAATTTATGTATAAAAGTTGTAGAAGGGGCTGGGGATTTAGCTCAGTGGCACAGCGCCTGCCTGGTAATTGCGAGGTCGTGAGTTTGATTCCTGGTACAGAGTTGGGGAAGTTGTAGAAAAAAACTGAAGCTTTTGCTCAGGTATGCCTAACTTGTGGGCCACAGGTTGGATATACCTACTTTTTAGAGTGGTGATTTCTTCTTCCTAGGAGACCTTTTCTTCTGGCAGGCAGTTAGAGTGGGGCATATCTTCTCTGCCACGAGGGACTACGCTGGTTAGAGGCTTGGCTTCATTCTCTTCACTTCACCTCTGTCCTCCTTGAGTGTAGCCCTCTAAGTGTCCCCGGTGAGCCTGGGGTGTTTACCAGGGCCACTTCTTTTGGTGGGCCAGGAAGTGCAGTTTTGTAAGTCCCAGCCTCAGCACATAGCAGGAGGCTGTCATTTCAGTGTCTTGGCTCTTCCACCTGAGAATTTGGAAAATAGCGCCAGATGTTGAGTTCACCTTTCCCGTCTTCCCTGTAGATCTTGGACCCTCAGGTTCCTTGCAGCCTGAGTAGCTCTGCTGTCTTACACAGATTTTTAGGTCTTTATTATTGACAACCTAGTCTATCCAAATCAGAGAGCACAGTGTTATCATTTATTGGGATGTAGTGTAAGTACGTGGAAAACAACAGACTTAGGGGGAACGGTGGCAGTGGGGGGAATGAGACAGGGTCTCACTGTGTCATTCAGGCTAGGCTTTAACTCAGCTATGTAGCCCAGGCTGGCCTCCATCTCATGGTGATCCTCCTGCCTCAGCCACCCTTGTGCTAGGATTACAGGTAAGCATCACCACACAGTACAACAAGAGACATTTTGAACTTTTCTTTGTTCTCAGTAGAAGTGTTAGAATTATAATTTTGAACCTATTTCATGTCTATTTTAGGAACAAATAGGCTAATATTATTAGAACCAAGATTTTTGCTGTAAAAGAGATTTTAAAAATATAAAAGAAGGGAAGGATAAACTAATGCCACATGTGACTAGTAATATCAGTACGAATTCATGATTTTAAAAAATACATACCTCCTAACTGTCTCCATTGAAAAGGCATATAGGGGCTGGGGATTTAGCTCAGTGGCACAGCACCTGCCTGGCAGGCGCAACGTTGTGAGTTCAATTCCTGGTACTGGAAAAAAGGAAAGAAAGGGCATATAAGTAATGACATTCAGTAACAGTGAACACACCTAGTTCCCAGAACTTGCTTTTTAAAATGAAACAATGCTTGGATGTCTTAGTTACTTTTCCCATTGCTGAGACAAAAGGCTCGACACTCAAAAGTTAAAGGAGAAAAGGTTTATCATAGCTCACAGTTTGTAGAGGTTTCAGTTTTTTAGACAGATGGCTCCAAGGCAGGGTGGCTTGGCAGAGAGGCACAGCAGAGGAGAAATAGCTCATGGCAGTTGCAAGGCATAGCAAGCAGCAAAGTAGCAAAGCAGCAATCAGCAGCAGCCTTCTTTCTGCCCCTCATATTCTATCCAGGCTACCTGCCCTTAAGGTGGGTAGCGCTCACACACAGGGTGGGCCTTCCCATTACCACCCCCAGAACTATGCCAGACCAATCAGTGGACTAGTGTAGTAGTCACACATCCTTATTCCCAGCATCACACACTCTAGATCCAGCCACCTCTGAAAAGCCCCACCTATGACCACGTGAGACTTTGTAGGGACACTTGGACATAAGCCATAACATTAGAGAAATGCCATTTCCAGGGCTGGGGTAGGGAAAGTACCAGGTGAGTTTGAAACACTGGTGCTTCGAAAGCAAAGAGTCATTTGAGGATTAGTGAGTCCTGTCTTAGGGACACAGATGCTGGTTTGAAGAGTGCTGCCACTGGCTAACTTTGACACCGACTGAATATTAAAATAAATATTGACATGCCCATAATCCCAGCACTTGGGAGGCAGAGGTGGGAGGATTGCCATGAGTTTGAAGCCAACCTGGGCTACATAGCAAGACCCTGTTTCAAGAAAGACAAAAAAGTAAACATTGATGGTAGTGGATCATAACACAGAGTATACTAAAATCTTGGAATACATAGTGTCACTTTTAAAAACAAATGATTGAGTCTGGGGTAGGGAGGAAGAAGAGAGCTCCGGTATTTACAGAAGCTGTGTAGTAAATACAGAAGGAAACGGATTCAAAAATTCACTGTTTTAGTTTGTAACCACAGTACAGTTGATTCAAGCAAGGATTATCAAAAATAAATTCTGAATTACTGGGTGAAGGATTATTGGGGAGCAAGATATTGTTGACTAGATACTTAGAAGGGTTAATCAAAATGTATGGTAAATGTTTAAATTTCCTTTAAATTATAGTAAAAAACACACTGCCATTAGTCCCTTCAAAATACTTCCCCTTGTCTTGAACACACTTATCCCGTCATTCTTGCCACTTTTTTTTTTTTTTTTTTTTGGCTTTTCTCCGGTACCGGGAACTGAACTCAAGACCTTGCGCTTGCCAGTTAGGCGCTTTGCCGCTGAGCTAAATCCCCAGCCCCTCTTGCCACTTTTCAAAGCAGTCCTGGAAGTGCTCTTTTATGAATGTCTTTATAAAGTGATAAAAAATACAGTGAGTGCTGCTACCAAGTGTCACCCAGCGGAAAGGCAGGCTGGTAAACGTTGGGGTTAACCTTCACTTCGTTCACCAGATCTGGCGCCATGCAGCTTCTGGCTGTTTCCCAGAGTCAGAACGAAAGGTAAACATTTTAGGGGGCTGGGGACGGCAGTGCAGCAGCAGTAACAACACAACTACTTTGACTGCCGGAACCAGTGATCCGTTTGGTCTTGTCAGTAATAGGATAATCTGATACTGTATCGCTCTTGTTATGATTTGGTAAGCTGTAGATATTAACAGTGTATTCCTGCTAAAAGTAATTAGTTCAAATTATATGACAAGTCTCAAGTGTGAGATAATGCATGATTAACCTGGACGCAAATCACATCTCATTGTCATTGGAAGCAGTGTTGAGGGGAAGGAGTCAGGGGAAATAATCTCAATTACTGAAGAGTCCTAATCAAAACGCATATAAGGGCTGGGTATATAGCACAGTGGCACAAGCACCTGCCTGGCAAGTGCAAGGTGTTGAGTTCTATTCCCAGTACCAGAAAAACCAAAATGCATATAAACCTTAATTAGAAAGAGAAGAGCAAAAATAATGATACTGCGATGGACAGTTTGAAAAATTAAATACCGATATGTTAGGCGATATAATGGGATTTGGTTAACTTTATGTACAGTGAAGGTATACAGAGAATATTTTTGTTTTTTGGAGATGCACACTGAAGCGTTTAGAAGCCAGCAGAAGAAAACGTGGCAGATGTTGATAACTGATGCATCTTGGTGAAGGGTGCACACGAGTCCTTTGTAATACTCTTTCGCTTGCATGTAGATTTGAAAATCTTCAAACTAAAAAGTTGAGAAACAGGGGCCAGGGATATAGCTCAGCGGCACAGCGCCATCCTGGCAAGCACAAGGTTGTGAGTTCGATTCCTGGTACCAAAAAAAAAAAAAAAAAAAGTTGAGAAACTACCTTAGATTGAGTGTAATTAAGATAATATTACTAGCTCCATGATATTTGTACCGCTGTGTGAACTTGCTTATGCTGTTAGTTTGCCTATCAATTGACACAGATGGTTTTGGTTTGTGGAACAGATTTACGCAGTGATTGATCTGTCTTTTATCAGGTGCCTTGGAGCACTATGTCCACTGCCTGGGTCTGGTAAACAGGAAGCTGCCTTATGGCCTTGCTCAGATCGGAGTGTGTTTCCATCCTGTTTCTGACTCTAAGCAGACACCTGATGGTGTTAAAAGGTATAAGATGCGGCAGATAGCCTGGCCTTGTATTTAAATAGAGAAGAACCAGCCTTTAGGCTAGATCGTATAGTCCAGGTAAGCTAATTTTTAATATTTTTGCTCTCTGAAGCATCGGTGAGAAGACCGAAGCTTCGCTGGTGTGGTTTACTTCTTCAAGGACTTCGAGCCAGTGGCTGGATTTCTGGTTGCGTCACCGACTGCTGTGGTGGAGAAAGGTACTCCCCATTCATTTAATAGTTAACACACACAATTCCTTAATGTGTCAGAGGCAGTGCTCTTGCATTACGAATGAAATTTGATGGGGTACAGCTATGTCATATTTGTAAGCGATCGCTACAGTAAATCAACAAATAGAAGTTGAAAGCTTCGTAATGGTTTTCATCCTTCCAGGCGACAGGGTTACTTACGTAGAGACGTTTGTTACGCTCAGATGCTATTGTTCACAAGCCTCACTGTTGCAGGTAGAGTTTCCGCCCCTCACCAGGCATTTTGGCTCGGGTGAAGTTTGACTCTTGCCCACCTTTACAACTTCAGCTCTTGGTTCCTTCCTCAGTGAACTCCCCATGTCAATCAAAATGGTTCTGTTTGTTTTTGTTGTTGTTTTTTTTTCCAGTACTGGGAATCAAACTCACAACCTTGCACTTGCCAGGCAGGCGCTGTGCCGCTGAGCTAAATCCCCAGCCCTCAAAATGGTTCTGTGATTTACAGTCACGCTTTAGTATATGCTGAAAAGAGCTAAAGTAAGCATTTTTTATCTGGCCGGTGTCCTACCTTTTCCCAATTTCCTTTCGGTACTGGGGATTGAACCCAAGGCCTTTGCACTGGGCAGCATCTCCAGCCCCTTTAAAAAAAATTTTGAGACACAATCTTGCTAAGTTGTCAAGGCTGGGACCAAACTTGTGATCTTCCTGCCTCAGCCTCCCAGAGTGCTGGGATTGCAGGCTTGTGCTACCACACTTGGCCGCCCAACTCTTAAAAATTCCACAACTCCCAGTTAAGCTAAATGGAAAAGTGCGGAAAAGTACTAAGCACTTTACTGAAGGCTAAGAATGGCAACCATTTTAAAGAAAGATACATTTCTTTATCCTGTTTAGTTCATCATTAACTTCCCCTCTTTATCAGTGGCCACAGAAAGGCTCAAGAGCATCAACAGTTTTTCTAATAGTTTCTTAAAACAAAAAAACAGTATGTTTAATAGTATTCCCACTCATACTTTATTAAATTTCAGTTTTTGAGACTTGACTAGTTGCAATCAGTTGCTGGATAAACAGTCTTAACAATTTTTAATTCTTAGAAGTGACTGCAGGATTTCAGGTAAGTTAGTGTTTTTTAGGTTTATTTGTTTGGTTTTTTTGTGTTGTTTTGAGACAGTTCAGGCTTGCTATGCAGTTCAGGCTGGCCTTGAGCTCACTTTTTAGCCCAGGCTGGTGTCGAACTCATAGCGATCCTCCTGCCTCAGCCGCCTGAGTGCTGGGATTACAGGCGTGCGCCACCACACCTAGCAGTTAGTGTTTATTTTAATAAGTTGTAAGACAAATTTTCTTTTCCAGTTTGCCATGTGTCCCTCTAACTTCAGCAGCAGTGATTGTCAGGACGAAGAGGGGAGAAAAGGAAGCCAACTTTACTACACTTTTCCCTGGGGAAAGGAGCCAATAGAAACGCTGTGGAACCTGGGAGATAAAGAACTCTTACGCATGTGTCCTGGAGATGTGTCTAAATTACACGTATGTTTTACTTTGTGCTTCTGTGTGTTCTTATCCAGATGATCTGTGTTCATGTCTGAACCAGGTCACAGTAATTACAGGCATATAGTCCCGTGAGCCCTTAATACCTTGGTATCTTTTTTAGGTGACACACAGTGCAGTCATCAAAGCCAGGAAATTAACAGTGACCCGCTTTCACTGTCCATTCCACAGAGTCCTTCAGATGTAACCAGTTACTGCAGTAATGCCCTTTGTGAGTGCAGGACCCAGGCAGGATTGTGCATTTCACATAGCTGTCATTTCCGTAGTCTCTTGCAGATAAACAGTTCCACTTCTTCCTGCTCTGCCGTGGTCCAAACCTGTGAAGGTGCAGGCTGGTTACTTTGCGGGATGCCCCTCGTCTCGGATTTGTCTCCGCGTGGCTTCTGCATGCTTGCTGGGGGCGGGACAGCAGCCGCGCTGCCCTCTCCTCAGCGTACCACGTCAGGAGGCGTGGGCGTCCGTGCCTTCCCGAGGGAGTTCACTCCGCTCGCTCGCGAGCAGTGTCTGCCAGCTTTCTCCCATGCAAAGCAGATAAATCTTCGTGCAGAGCTACTTTACAAGGCTGTGCACGTAACCTCTTTGTCACTAGATTTTGATTTCTAGCTGGGGACTCCCCTGGTGATTCTTGCCTAAAGGAATTAGTACATTTGTGACTTTGTTTTAGTTTTTCAGTAATACTATCATTTCTTCTAGATTTATTGGTTAGCAGTGTGCTACAGGGTAGGGATTTCCCTCCTTCCCCATTTGTTTATTTTTCATATTGGTATGGAGTCCCAGATTCCTCTTTTGCTCATAGGATTATAATCTGCTACTGTAATACTTATTTTGATATTGAGATTGTCCTAGACTTGGCCAGTGTCCTTTTCACATATGTTCATCATTCTCTGTACTAGTAATTTAGTCATTTATTTTACTCACGCGCGTGCGCGCGCACGCACACACACACACACACACACACACACACACACACACACAGATCCCATGGCCCTCACACTGAGCTACATCCCCAGCCCTTTTTTCTGTTTGGAGACAGGATCTTCCTAGTTGCTCAGGCAGGACTTGAATTTGCAATCTCCCGGCTTCAGCCTCCCAGAGTGCTGGAATTAGGCATACATCACCACACCCAGCTGACTCCTTACTTTTTATAAGAATAAACTGTTAAAAGATCATCTAACATTTTCTTGACCTAGGTGTGGAACCAGCCATTCCTCCAAGGAGCCTTGGCTCCTACTAAAGGGAATTATATTCATAGATCACGATTGGCCATGAAGTATACTCCTTGTAACCAAGTAACAGTGTCTCTGGGCCCTCTTGTGGACACAGCTAGGATATATTGTACGTGACTACAAATACTGACACGTTTATTTTGGTGGTGGTGGTTCTAGGCATTGAACCCAGGGCCTTCACATATACTCCCACAGCCTTATGGGTGGGGTGTTTAAGACAGGGTCTCACTATGCAGTTCAGGTTGGCCTTCAACTGACTATGTAACCCAGGCTGGCCTTGAACTCACAGTGATCCTCTTGCCTCAGCCTCCTGAATGCTGCGATTATGAGTGTACAACATACCTGGCTCCCCACAGCCTTTTTTTTTCCTTTTTTTAAAAAAAAACAGGGTCTGCTGAATTGCGCATGCAGGGCTTGAGCTTGTAGTCCCTCTGCCTCAGTCTAATGCTGGGATTGCCAGTGTGAGCCACTGTGCCTAGCTGCTTTTCATTTCTTGTGTGCAGCCGATCTCCCTGCCCTGCTTTGGCAGACAGCCCGGATACACCAGTGGTCCCACCCTCACACTCAGGACGGAGGTTTTTGGCGCAAGGGAAAGAAGGAAGAGAAGCCAGGTTGAGAACTTGATCCTGGATGAGCTGCTCTCCGCAGCCTCCCACCCAGCCGTGCTCACTAGAACACAGGGAGGGAGGAGAGGCAGGAAGAAACTTAGCCTTGAACTCCGCCTCCTCCTTTCTGTCCCAGCCACACTGGCCCAGAGCTCAAGCCTGGACGGCCCAGGCCGGGTGCTCCTGCCCGCTGACCACAGCTCAGAGCTGGCAGGAGGGAAGCAGAGGCACAACGGTGCTGCATTTAAAAGGAAACAAAATTTTCAAAACTTCGAGCAGATGATATAATTCCTTTGGAGAAGGAATCCTGCTAAAACTTACCCTGTTTGGAGAGGTAGAATAGCGCTTTTCTGCCCAGGTGGGTCTAGATTTGAATATATAGGTTATTAGATTTGTAGAGATGGAGTCTTGGTTTTTGTTTAGAGATGGAGTTTTTAGTGTACTGCTTTGTGGCTTACAGTGGAAAAAAAAGGTGCCTGAAACTTAAAAATACCATAATAAGGAAAACAACATTAATTGAATATTCCTTGTCTCCAGGAGAAATGCTTTGAATTTTTGAATTTGCAGATTTTGGAATATTTGCATGCAAATAACGAGCTGTCTTGGGGCTAGGACCTGTGTGTACACAGAATATATTTGTGTTTCATGTGCACCTTACTCCTGCAGCATGCAGACGATGTTGTACAAAGTGCTCAGTGCTCCTGTGTTTTGACTTCGACCCATCACAGGAGGTCAGAGGTGTGATTTTCCACGTGTGGTGTCTTGTCCACGCCCAGAGTTCAGATCTTGGAAGATCTGGGGCTTTCAGGTTAGGAACGCACCAGTTACACTTCATATGCAATGAATGCAAAGTAGATTAACAAATATGAGCAAAAAACCAATAAACAACTAAAATGCTTATTTGTGAGCATTCCTCATAACTCCACCACCATCACACATTATTTTGGGTGCTCAGCTCTCAAATGAAATGTAGCTTGGTTAATTGTCATAGCTAAAGACCAACTCAACTTGTAGTAGTGATTTAAAGATGATTTTTGGGCCAGGCATGGTGGCACATGCTTGTAACCCCAGCACTCAGGAGGCTGAGGCAGGAAGATCACTGCAAGTTGGAGGCCAGTCTGGGCTACACAGTGAGCTCAAGGCCAGCCTGAACTGCATAGTGAGACCCTATCTCCAAAAAAAAGATGATTTTTGTAGTGTGGCTACTAGCTCTTATTTTATTCTTTTTTTTTTTTTTTTTGGTTTTTCTCCGGTACCGGGAACCGAACTCACGACCTTGCGCTTGCCAGACAGGCGCTTTTGCCGCTGAGCTAAATCCCCAGCCCCTTATTTTATTCTTTATTGGAGTAGTTTTCACGAAGGAGAACTCCTCTACTGCAGAATTTTTACCTTTTCTTGAAATTGTTCTGTTTCCATAGTTCACAAAAACCATTAGTTGAACATTAAAAAATAACAAATAGAATTTCTGCCACTAAATATGGTTTTTTTGAAAGATTTCTTAGGCTATTTTGAATTTATTTGTAATTGGTTTCACTGTTAACATTTAAATGTGTCCCTGGAGGAATTATATTTTAGAAAACAGAAAAACTGTTTGGAACAGTTTTAAGAGTTTCTGTTTTGGGGAACAGAAAACTTGACTTCCAGATCAGTACAGTCTGAAGGACAGTTAAGATGGAAAGCAAATTTGCTCTGGCAGACGTAAAAATTAGCCTAGCTAAGAAGAATTACTGTTGGATAGCTCGGCAATAGTGGTTTTTTTTTGTTTTTTTCGTTTTTCTCATTTTCTTAGTGTTTATTTGTTATGCTATTTGTTATGCGCCACCATGCCCGGCTGATAATAAAAATTTTAAAAGAATAAGCCTGGGCCTGGCATGGTAGCACATGCCTGTAATCCCAGCACTCGGGAGGCTGAGGCAGGAGGATTGTTGCGACTTCAAGACCAGCCTGGGCTACAAAGTGAGCTCAAGGCCAGCCTGAACTGCAGAGCAAGATCCTGCCTCAAAAAAGGAAAAAAAAAAAAAAAAAGAATAAGCCTGGTATGGGGGTGCACATGCCTGTAATCCTAGCACTCAGGAAGCTGAGGCAGGAAGATCGCCATGAGTTTGAGGCCAGCCTGAATAACATGGGAGGCCCTTTCCCAACCAAAACAAAAGAATGATGGTAGAACTGTTGAAATGCAAACGTTGAAAAAGTTTTAGAATTGAAATTTTTAAGAATTTGAGATATTTTTTTCCTCATCAGTTCAAAAGAGAGGACAAAGTTTAGGAATACTTAATTATATGCTGTGGAATAGTATTGTATGTATTTATATAGTGATAGTCTTAACCCAAAAACAAGTTTTTAATAGGTGTTTATTATGAAAATAACCATACATGTTAGCAAATCGTACTGCAGACCCCTTTCTTTGAGCACCAACCCCTCCTGCTCTTCTAACCTGTATGAAGTAGTGTTCAGTTTTTACCTAAGAGTGCTGCTGCCTTTCCAGTACTGAAGCTCACCTCGGAAGCCCTGAGAAGACAGTGCCGCTGCCCGGATCCCAGCTGAGCTGGCTCTTCCTGTCGGGGAGTGAGGCCCCGCGGCGGTTGCGTTTTAAGGTCGCAGGTGACGACAGACTGGCTGCGGTGCCCTGACTTCTCTGACCTCCCTGGCGGCCGAGGCCGTGTCATCGTCTGTGTGCCCAGTGCCTGGTGTAGGCCTGGCACAGACTGGGTTCTTTGTGAAGTAAATTTACAATTTTGTATTCTGATTGGCCGGATCTAAAATGTGTAACCTTAAGGAAGTTCTGTTGAACGATACTTTATTTACTGTGTTCTCTGTGAAGGGCCGAGATGGGCGGAAGATGGTGGTTCCTTCTGTTGTATCCGTGAGCGGGGACCTAGACCAAGGCATGCTGGCTTACCTCTACGACTCTTTCCAGCTCACAGAGAACTCCTTTGCAAGGAAGAAAAGTCTTCATAGAAAGGTGCTTTTGATGCTTCAGAGATAAACTGGGAATTAAACCTATGGCTGGGGTTTTTTCCTTTTTTATATTAATTGTGCTTCCCTTCCTTCCATAATTGCCCTAGGTGCTTAAACTGCACCCTTGTTTAGCCCCTATTAAAGTTGCTTTGGATGTGGGAAGAGGTCCAACTGTGGAACTCAGACAGGTGAGTTAAAGGAGTTTAAGTGTCATGGTTGTAAGCACATACTTATAATTTCAGCACTTAGGCTGCTGCAGGAGGATCACAGGTTCAAGTACTGCCTGTGCAATTTAGCAAGACCTTGTTTCAGAACAGAAATAAAAGTGACTGGGATGTATGTAGCTCAGTGGCAGAGCACCTGTGGGTTTCATCGTCAGTAACATGAAACACTAACAATTTTGTGTATAACCATCACTAAGTAAACTCGGTAACTTGCCATTTAAATTTTTATTCTGATTTATTTGCTTTTTAAAATATTGTAAGTGGAGCCGGGTGTGGCCGTGCATGCCTGTAATCCCAGCACTCGGAGGCTGAGGCAGGAGGATCATTGTGAGTTCGAGACCAGCCTGGGCTACACAGTGAGCTCAAGGCCAGCCTGAACTGTGTAGAGAGACCCTGTCTCAAAAAAGACCAAATAAATAAATAAATAAAATATTGTAAGCAATGGGACTGTGGGTGAGTGCTGTGTGACTATGTTAAGAAGCTGAATATAATTCAGTGGATTTTGCTGTTAAAAGTCATCGCCACTCAATTCCATTTTAATGTGTTTACACAGTTCTGATATTAAAATGTTTGTTCAGATGCCTGGTGAATTACTTTTCCCTTTCCCTTTTAACTTCACACTTTGATGTTTGTTTGTTTTAGTACTGGGGGTAAAACCCAGGGGATCCCCACCACCAGGCTACCTCCCCCGACTCTCCTTTTTGAAGTAGTCTCACCAAATTGCCTAGGTGGGGCTCAAACTTAGAACTTCTTGTCTTTTTGAGATAGAGTCTCTCCATGCAACTCGCGCCGGCCTTGAACTCATTAGGTAGCCCAGGCTGGCCTGGAACTCGCAGTAATCCTCCTGCCTCAGCCTCCCGAGTGCTGGGATACAGGTGTGCACCACCACAGCTGGCAATTTTGAATTTCCTAATGAATCTGGTCTAGTTATTAAAAACTCTTGAGAAAAGCCAGGGAGGTGGTTTCCTTAGCAGTCATCGTTTCTGTCTGGGGAACCCAGCGCCACCTAGGACCTGAGTGAGGACACTGAAGCTCGCCCTGGCTCCTGGGAAGGTGGCGCCCGTGGACCGAGCAAAGAGAAGACCACGGCCTTCCTGTGGCTTCCTGCTCCCTGGCTGCCGCAGGCTCCACCACGCCGTTGGAGCCCCCAAGTTTCTCGAGTTTGAGAAGCAGTGCTATAGCTCAGTCACCACCACCAAAGGAGGGACTTGGGGTAATGTCCAGAGCCGCTTCAGTTGTCACAAGGTGCAGAGGCGGGGGTGCTGCAGGCGTCTGACGGTGGCCCCGATGCTCCTCACCTTCCTGTGTCCACAGCGCAGAGGGCGGGAAGCCTGGAGGAGAGCAGCGCAGGGGCCTTGAAGTTCGCCTTCCGGGACTGGGGAGGGGCCAGGGCCGGTGCGGGCTGGGCAGGCGTTCTCATGCAAGCTTGTTCCAGGCCCAGGGCAGGTGGGCTTAATTTTGCTTTGGTGTTGCTTTTAAAAACTGAAGTGTCCCGTGCCATTGATGTGTTACCACTCTTGTATTTCCAGTCAGGCTATGTCTCCAGCAGTCCACTGAAACATTTTATGTAGCTGGTTTCCGTAATACTGTGCTACTGGCTTTTATCGTATCTTGTTTTAGTTTTGTTAAGACAAGGTCTTGCTGTGTATTCCAGGCTGGTCCTGAACTCACTTTGTAGCCCAGCCTGGCTTCAGATTCACAAGGATCCTCCTGCCTCAGCCTCCAGAGTGCTGGGATCACAGGCGTGCGCCCCCACGCCCCGCCTCTTGTTTTCTTTTCTGGCTCCTCCCGCTTCCTGACCTGGATGTATAATCCTCGGGCTGTTTCCAGCTCTCACATGAGCTTGGTGTTACACATCTTTGTTGATTTTTGTTTGTTTGTTTTTGGTACTGGGAATCAAACTCAGGACCTTGCATTTGCCAGGCACACGCTTGTGCCCTGAGCTGTATCCCCGGCCCTGGAGTTACACATCTTTGGAGGCAGTTTTTTTTTTTTTTTTTAATGGAATCTGTTTTGGGCCTCTTGAGGGGTTTGTGTGTGTGTTTATATTTTGTGATGACAAAATTTTGCTTTTGAGTGATGATGACAGAATTTCTTGTTTAGTATAAAAATATCCCAGAAAACTCACACTCAGTATTGAGTTTGCAGTGCTTAATTTTCAGAGGAAGTACACAGTTTATAAAGTATACAAGTGTAAATTATAAACGTTAGAGGCCTGGGATGTAGCTTAGCGGCACAGCGCCTTGCTTGGCAAGTGCAAGGTCCTGAATTCAATTCCTGGTACCCAAAAAAAAAAATTATAAACATTAGTATTACATAACTGAAGGGATTTATATTCATTTTGGAGATTGAAAAGGGTGATTTGTAAATCAGGCATCGTGACACATACCTATAATTCTAGCTACTTGGGAGCCCCAGGCACGAGGGTTGTGAAGTCTGAGGCCAGCAGCTTAGTGAGACCCTGTCTCAATATAAGAAAATAAAATGGAGCCGGGTGTGGTGGTCACGGGGAGGCTGAGGCAGGGGGATCATTGCAAGTTCGAGGCCAACCTGGGCTACAGAGTGAGCTCAAAGCCAGCCTGGACTGCATAGCGAGACCGTCTCAAAAAAAAGGAAACAGGCTGGGCTATAGCCGAGTGCGACGGCTCGGGTTCTGTCCCCAGTACAGTCCCTCAGTCAGTAAACACAAACGAGGGATTTGTGGTTCCACAGGAGTAGGACACTTAACTGCTATTTGAAGGCTCTGTACTTTTCTCCAGGTTTGTCAAGGGCTATTTAATGAATTACTAGAGAACGGGATCTCTGTGTGGCCTGGCTATTTGGAAACTGTACAGTCCTCACTGGAACAGCTCTATTCAAAGTAAGAGAAATGATCTTTCTAGTCATTAAAAATGTATTTTATTCAGTATCTGATTATATATTTCTTTATGATAACAGAAACAAATCTCATAAATATATATGAAACATAATTAAGATTATTCCCCACTTTTCCTTTTACAGAACGATGTGCCCTTAATTATAGCACAAAGCAGTGTCCAGCAGGTACATTGCAGCACATGCCGTGTGCATTTCCAAGACACAGTGTCGTGAAGGGCCCTCGTTTATTTATCAGGATACAGTTGTGTATACAAGATGCATGTGCTGGGCTGGGGATTTAGCTCAGCGGCACAGCACCTGCCCAGCAAGCGCAAGGTCCTGAGTTCGATCCCCGGTACCGAGGGTGGGGGTGGGGGTGGGGGATACATGTGTTGAATGAGGACTGAAGGAACACGGTCAGAATGCCTTGTCCTTGCTGGTATTTTGGTTTATTCTGAGACTGAGTAAAAGAGAAGTCCATTTTGGAGGGTAGAGAACTTGTCTCAGTGACTGGCATCGCTGGTTCCCCGGTTGCTCTAGATTGAAACTGGCTTCTTGTTGATAAACCCTAACCTGGCAGTTCAGCATCCCAAAGCTGAAATGCCCTAAAATCTGAAACATTTTGAGCACTGATGTTTCACAACAAGTGGAAAATTCCACACCTCTCCTCATATGACAGGGTCAGAATACAGGTGCACAAAAAATACCACATCAAATTACCTTCAGGCTGTGTGTATAAAGTGTAGATGAGAGGGAAAAGCCAGGTGTGGTGGTGCACACCTGAATCCCAGCATTGAGGAGGCTGAGGCAGGAGGATTGCTGTAGGTTCAAGGCCAGCCTGGGCTCGGTAGTGAATTCAAGGGCAGTCTGACCGGTTTTACTTTTTGAGACAAGTTCTCACTATGTAGTTCAGCATATCTGTAAACTAATCTCAAACCACATTGCTTTTGCAGACATTGCCTAAGATAAGGTCACCAGTAGCTTTTGTCTGGATAATTGAAATATTTGTCTATCTCTTATCTTACTAATGTGCTGTCTCATCAGCTTTTTTTTAATAAATCCATTCTTCCTTTGTTTTTTGGTTTTGAAAGCTTTTTGTATTATACACGTCTTCTGGGCAGAGATCGGAAGCGTTTTAGTTTGCTCTTCAGCTCTCTGGTAACTTGTTAAAGTATGCTTTCCAGATGATGTCTGCAGAGAAATAGTTTTGTTTTATATTTTTGTTTGTGTCCGTGCTGTGGATCAAGCCCAGGGGCTCTGTACCCCTGAGCTACACCCCCATTCCTTTTACTTTTGAGGCAGTCTCACTAAGATGAGACTCGAACTTATAGTCCTCCTGCCTCAGCCTCCTGAAGTGCTGGGATTACAGGCATGAGCCACCACACTGAGCTAAAAATAGTCTCTACATATAAAAATAGAGCATATATGAAATGAAGGGCTGGTACTTGAGACTTGAGGACTTCCTAGTCTTCACAGGTTCTAAAACCTTACCCTTTGAGTCATGTGGACGTAATCAAATTTTGTTCTTTTTTATTGCTCAGGCTTTGTTGTCCCAAGATACTGTTATCCAAATATGTATTAAGTACCTATTGTGTCTTACACACTTTGATACAATAGTGAGTGAATATGACAGGAAAGCTTATATTCGAAGTGGGATTAAAAAAAAGACAATAAAAACTAAATAAAACATGTAATAAGTAATATGACTTGGTAAGCAGAAAGGCGGCCAGTGATTGCTAAAGTAGAAGTTACAAACTGGCATACACTGAGTAAGAAATAATGCATGAATCTGGTAAAAGTTATTGTATGCCAGCTCTTTATTGTAGCATTGTTATTTAACCTAAAGTAATTGTTCTTACAGTACAGCTAGGCTCCAAAAGGCTGAGGTGTCAGGAGGTGAGTCTGTCATGCCACACTAAACGATGTATTAAGGTGACAGGTTTATTTCTCAGGCTTAATTTCTTTGATGGCTTTTTAGGTATACACTGTTAGAAACTCTCCAGAAATTTTACTTCGTGATTCAGAAGCAAAAAATGAGCTGGGTGTGGTGGTGCGCGCCTGTAATGCCAGCACTCAGGAGGCTGAGGCTGGAGGATCGTTGCAAGTTCAAAGCCAGCCTGAATTACATAGAGAAATCGCGTCTCAAAAAGAAAAAAACGAAACAAACAAAAAAGAGCAGAAAATGTTGAGTATTTTCGATCTAGTTCTCAAGCCCTGACTTTGAGTTCACGGTTGAACATGACGCAGACACTGAAGTAATGAAAGCTGGGTGTGTGGAGACTGACACTGACGTTTGTGCTCATGTGTTTTTTTGAACTACTTTCTCCTTAGATACGATGAGATGAGTATCCTCTTCACAGTTTTGATTACGGAAACTACTTTGGAGAATGGATTGGTCCAGCTGAGAAGTAGAGATACCACAATGAAGGAAATGATGCATATATCAAAGTTAAAAGACTTTTTAATCAAGTATATAACATCGGCTAAGAATGTATAGGTTTTCATATTTATATAATAAACATTTTTCCTTTGCTAATTTGTCATGTTGATTTAGTGTTTTTTGTTTTTTGTTTTGTTTTAGTGCTTTTATACTTATGAAGTAAATATTTTTGGTGCTTTCTGTGATACATTGTTCATTACACTGTTGGTGTGTTCCATTGCTTCAAGAATATGTTGAGCTGGGCGTGGTGGCGCACGCCTGTAATCCCAGCACTCGGGAGGCTGAGGCAGGAGGATCGTTGCGAGTTCGAGGCCAGCCTGGGCTACAAAGTGAGCTCAAGGCCACCCTGAACTGCACAGTGAGACTCTGTCTCAAAAAAATAAATAAATAAAATAAAAGAGAGTATGTTGAATTACAAGAAACAAAAACCCTACTTTACTAGATTAAGCAAATTGGGGTTTGTTTTTCTCGTATAACACAAAATTTATTGGAGAGACTATCCAAAGCAGTATCACTGTTTATTCGCTAGTTAGGGACCCAGGCACCTCCTTTCTGTTCTGCCACCTTCCTGTTCCACCAGCACATTGACTTTGAGGGAGTAAGGGGGATACTAGGACTTGAACTCAGGATCTCACGCTTGCCAGGCGGGCACTGCACCACTGAGCTAAATCTCCGACCCTGACTCTTACCTTTGTTTATTTCATCATGATCACAGGTAGCTGCTCTATTTCCAGCCTTCTCCACCTCATTAGGAAAAGTCACAGGAAGATGTATTAGAACAGGCCGTGGTGCCATGTAAGCTTAAGGTGCAAAAGCACCGGAGGGAGCCGGGGGGACACCGGGAAGAAGAGTGCTCAGTGGAAGCAGCAAGTGCAGAGGTCCAGACGTGGAGTGCAGGGTTTGAAACAGGAGGCTGGCATGGCAGGGGTGCAGCCAGTGAGCGGGAGAGCGGCTGGAGGCGTTGGGAGGCACCGTGGGTGCTGGGTCATGTGGTGTAAAAGCCTTGGTAGAAGGGCTTTTGCTGACATCTGCTCCAAGTGTCCCCGTGCCTCTCAGATTACCAGCTAGGTCCAGGGTAGCAGCTCTTCTCACTGACAGAGATCTAATCGTGTGGGAAAGAAAACTGGCAGGCCGAGAGGGGAAGGCGTGATTAGACAGTGCTCAGCGACGCTGAAGCTTCTAGGAGATGCTCAGATGTCTTGTGTGCAGCACTACCGCATCCTCTTCTAGAGCCTTCACCAGGTGAATTGAAGTAGAGGCTGCCCTGGCCCTACGGTGTGGACTGGTACTAGTACGGTACTAGTGCGTCAGCTAAGTGACTGATGCTGAGGCTAAGTTAGAAAAAGGCAGTACGCCTTCAGCCTAGCTGTCCCCTGGAGTGTGCCTGCGGTGTCCTGAGCCACCTACGTGTAAGAAGTCCAGCTGCCATGGAGCCGCCACGCTGGAGAGACCGTGCAGAGACGCTGCGTACAGAGGAGGCGTGCGGCTGCCCCAGTCCCAAGGGGTGCTTCCCACTTAAATTAGGAAAGTAAAAGCTTTCCCTACATACGACAGTCAGGCCACTCCTTTGCATCTCGTTGATCAGACTTGAGTTGCATCATAATTCTTAGATCGCTCTCTAATGAGAATATCCTGATTTGGGTAAAATACAATTTATTTCTTGGAGATACAGCGCTGTCTTTTTCTGAAATGAGTTTTGTTATCAGGACAAAACCCTTAAAGAGATCTTTAAGGAATCTACCATATTTATATTGTTAGATGTCAAATATCCTAAAACCAAACTCTTAAATATTAGAAGTTATTAATTATTGATAATAAGCTAAAAATATAAGTAATGCAGTTTCTTTCATATCTGATTCTTTTTTTCTTTTTTCTTTTTATGTCTGATTCTGGTGAATTCGTTAGCCTACAGGATTTCTTTCTCTCCCCCCCTCTTTCTTTCTCTGTCTCAGCTAGTTATTTATTTGGGGATGTTCCACTGTCTAGATTTTGTTTATGGCATCTTTATGGTATGGTTTTACCTGTTCCTTTCTGTATAGTTCCTGTAGATTGGTGATTGAATCCAGAGGCTAGGCTGGGTTCAAGTTCCATTTTGGGGGGCAACAATGTTTCATAGGCAGTTGTAATTTTTATCGGGGGCTTTAATGTTTGATTATTATCTTTTTTGGGTTTTCTGGAAACCATTAATATCTAGATAGATGGATTTATTAAATTTTCCAAAATGGCGACATTCTGCACCTGTTGTTTTCATTGGCTCGTGATAGTACTTCTGCAAAGTAAACTCTCCACCCCCTGTGCACTTAGGTAGAGGTGCAGAAAGGGTCTTCTTTAGAGCTAGTGTTCCTTCCGATGCTCACGTTGTCCCGTCTGGCGGACAGAAATCTCTCGGGCTCTGCGTCATCCTGATGCACCTTCAGTACTTTGGTTTGTTTTTTTTTTTTTTCTGTCTTTTTGAGACAGGGTCTCGCTATGCAGTTCAGACTGGCCTTGAGCTCACTTTGTAGCCCAAGCTGGCCTCGAACTTGCAACGATCCTCCTGCCTCAGCCTCCCAAGTGTTGGGATTACAGGCGTGCGCCACCACGCCCGGCTTGTGCTTTGATGGCCTCCTTGTTGACTCCTGTCTGCTGTACAGATTGTATATGTCTGTGTTTCTCCATGGAAACCTGGTTCCTCTTAGTGGGAGAAGTACTTGGGAGCCGTACTGTGGATACAGGACGCTGCTTTATTGATCGAAAGTGGTCTTCGAAGGCGTTTTTAGGCTTCCAGGCTCTGTGTGTGTGTGTGCGTGTGTCCTAAAATATATTAATCGTAAGTCTCAGGTCAGGCCGGGGATATAGCTCAGTGGCACAAGCGCCTGCCTGGCAAGTGCAAGGTCTTGAATTCAAGTCCCGATACCCCCCCACAAAAAAGTTTCAGTTCAGATTCAGGACCCCCAGGGTTTGAGTTTGTGTATGTTTTCATCATTTTTGTTGTCTTTTACATCAAACCCAGTGCCTCACACATTGCTGGGCAAGCACTGAAAACTACCCTCTACCATAATCAGTTTTATTAAGATATAATGTATATGTAATAAATTTGCCTATTTTAAATAGCAATTTCGAATGGTCAACTTGCTTATTTAGTTAGTTAGTTAGTTAGTTATCTTTTTGAGACAGGGTCTCACTATGCAGTTCAGGCTGGCCTTGAGCTCACTTTGGAGCCCAGGCTGGTCTCAAACTCTCAAGGATCCTCCTGCTTCAGCCTCCCGAGTGCTGGGATGACAGGTGTGCACCACCATGCCTGGCAGCTCATTTATTTATTAATTATTTTTTCCAGTGGTTCTGACTACGTTGCCCAGGCTGGTTCAGACTCCTGGACTCACACAGTCCTTCCACTTCAGCCTTGCAAGTAGCTGAGGCTACAGGCTCATGCCACTTTGCCCGGCTAACTGCCTATTTCTCCTCCGTCCCTCCCTCCCTCTTTTCCTCTTACTCCCCCCACCCCATCGCTCCCTTTTCCTTCTTTCCTTCCTTTCCTTGTACTGGGGATTGAACCCAAAGCCTTCACACTGAACTACATCCCCAGCCTTTTTTTTTTTTGTACTGGGAATCGAACTCACGAACTTGCGCTTGCCAGGCAGGCGCGGTGCCACTGAGCTGTATCCCTGCTCCCCACCCTTTTTGGTTTCGCTACACAGTTCAGGCTGGCCTCGAATTTGCAGCAATCCCCATGCCTCAGCCTCCCAACTGCTGGGATTATAGGTGTGTACCACTACACCTGGCAAAGCCCTTTTTAACTTGAGAGAGGGTCTTGCTAAATTGCCCAGGCTGGGCTTGAACTTGCAATTCTCCTGCTTCAGCCTCCCTCAACCATGACCAGCTAATTGGCTCTTTTCTTTTCTTTCTTTTTTCCGTTCAGGCTGGCCTTGAGCTCACTGTGTAGCCCAGGCTGGCCTCGAACTCACAGTGATTCTCCTGCCTCAGCCTCCCAACTGCTGGGATTACAGGTGTGTGCCCACCATGTCTGGAGTAATTAGCTCTCTTAAGCGATATCATAACTGTCATTTTGGTGAGGTCTGAAACCTAAGAAATTATAGTTCCCTTCTGCCAGGGCTGTGGGTATGAATACCTTCCACCAAAGAGAAGCGCCATGTGGGGTTTGTGGAGTGCGGGGGAGGTTGTAGCCATGGTGCAGAAGGAGGCGCCTGCTGTGACAAAGCTCTGCTTCGCTCTGTCTGGGCCCTCGTTGCTCCGTGAGGCAGCTGTGGGCCGCAGATCAGCAGTAATAGGAGCGCAGTGTTTTTCTAGCATCCAGCGCCAGAAAATCTGCAGGGAAAGTATTATAATTAGAAAGTTAGTAAGGATGTGGGATACAAAGCACTGTGCTTCTGTGTATCAAAGACAAGAATTAAAAACATGATTTAGCATCAAAACGTCAGGTGACTAGTACAGGAGTAAATCTAAAAAAAGATGTACAAGATGTTTATGCAGAAAATGGTAAAACTGTTGAAAGAACTGAAAAACATAAGCAAATGGTGAGATGTGCTATATTTGTAGTTTGAAAGACTTGGTATCATGAAAAAAAAATTTCTTTTGTCTTTTTGAGACAGTCTTACCATGCAGTTCAGGCTGGCCTTGAGCTCACTTTGGAGCCCAGGCTGGTCTCAAACTCCCAACGATCCTCCTGCCTCAGCCTCCTGAGTGCTGGAATTACAGGTGTATGCCACCACACCCGGCTAAAACTTCTTTTCATTAAAAGGCATAATTAAGAATTTTAAAAGGTGGGGGGAGAGAATGTAGCTTAGTGGTAGAGCACTTGTCTACAGAGGGCAAGGCCATGAGCTTCCTCCCCAGCCCTGAAAAAAACATACAGAGTAGAAAACAACTACTTAAATGAACACCCCAGTAAAGGCTCGATTCTGAAAGAAAAACAAGTAATAGAAGAGAGCCATGTGACCTATAAATATACAAGTGATCAAGCTTGGTAGTCATCGGGAAGATGGGAATTAAAGTTACAAGGTGGTGCCACTATATAAAGGTCATAATTAACATAACCGCCAGCGCTAGTGTTGGAGAAGCCGTGGGGGGGCCTCCCACTGCTTGTGGGCGTGTGAAGG